TCTCTCTCTCTCACACACACACACTCCGTAAAACTTTATTTGAAGTCCTCGCCGTACGATGCCGCCTTCATTGATCTGCCATCAGTGAAACTGATCAGTTTTAGTTCATTGATCAACACTGATCGATACCCTCTGTCTGCACCAAGTATTGCTACAGATCGACCAATCAGCTGCTTCAGATGATGATGAGAACATGATGGGAGGTGTGAGGCCCAGAGCAAATTTCACGTTGATCAGTGAGCTGACGTTACCTGAGCACAGGTGAGGAGGCTTCACTCAGTCAGAATAACCTCACATGAACACCAGATCATGTGATTACCGCCCCGTCACATGAGCTCTCTCTAACGCTACGCAATGAGGGCAGAGCTGCACTTTGACCTATGCTCAGGCAGACGCAGATCTCACCAGAGGAGCTTCCACAGCTTCACTCTGATGTCAGAGAAGGAAGCGAATGTTTCCCTCGTGCCAGCAGGCGAGCACGTTTCCATGATGACCTGACGGTGCGCTGCTATGAATTATGGGATCGCAGAATCTCCCAAAGGGCGCCGCAGTGTCCCCTGGCATGGAGGAAGCTGTAAAACTCCTTTCAGCTCTGACTGAGGAACACTGATCTCACCAATCAGCTGTGCGTGTGACTGCGCTGCAGTGCATTGTGGGATGGAAGTAGAGCCGGTGTGTACTTTGCTGAAGAAGGAGTCCTGTTTCTATGGTTACCCACATGTTAAAAATTGACATTTTCAAACTGTGAGTGGATTTCAGCAGCCAACCACAGGAGGAAGAAGCCACAATCAATAACCTTTGACCCTGATCAGGTGACTGTGCGTGTGCAGAAACAGGTTATTAAAAACGAGTTTAATCAGAGACGCAGTTTGAACAGTTAATGAGAAATAAAGTCAACACTGCAGCTGTCACGCACACACACACACACACATACACACTGTCTCTCTCTCACACACACACACACTCTCTCTCTCTCTCGCACTGCATGCTGGGAGTTTGATGGTGGTGAGTTTGGTGTGTCTGAGTGAGAGTGTGAGGTGTGACCCTTATTAGCTGAGGTGATCAAGCAGAAGACACTAGATATAGTCTTTCTCCAGGAAACACACACTGACAGTACAAATGAAATAGACTGGGGTCTGTGGTGGGGAGGGCAGCAGTTTCGTAGCCATGGGACAAATTTTAGCGCAGGAGTTGCTATTTTATTTTCTCCTTCTCTTAATGCAAATATTACTTTCAGCATGGAGATGGTAAAGGGGAGAGTCCTCATGGTGAAAGCTGAAATAGGTTTTATTTTTACTTTCGTTGTTGTCTTACCAACCTTAGGGTCTGAGTGTGAGATTTTGTTTAAAACATTAAAAGAAAAATTAAGCGGTGCTGCTCAAGGGGACTGTGTTGGGTGGGGACTGTAATTGTTGTCTTGACTTGGATAGGACAGGGGCGGAGCCGCATCTTCATCTTCTGCTTTATCAGATGTCCTACGGAAAATTAACTTGGTTGATGCATGGAGGATGAAGCATCCTTCACCAGGCAGTATACCTGGGTAAAAGTCAATGATGGCAGAGTTAGTGCAGCCAGATTACACGGGTTTTATTTGTCTGTTTCACTTACTGCTGGAATTGTTAACTGTCAGTGTTTTCATGTTGTTTTTTCATATCATCACTAATTTCTTTTTTCTTTTTTTTTGCCTGTCCCGTTTGGATCTTTAGCATCAGAATTGTTGTCTGAAGGCCAAGAAAGATGCCAAGCGGCTTTACTTTACCAAGTGGATCATCATGGTCTCACCATATTGGTCCATTTGATTGACCTTTATTATAATTATGTATTTATTTGATTTGATTTTTGGTTGTTACAGATGGGACAGACCTGACTGGGGGATAGGACAGGGAGAAAGAATGAAAGAAAGAGAGGGAGAGAAAGAAAAATAGAGGGGAGAAGAGACGGTGAGAAAGGGGGGAAGAATAAAAAAAGAAAAACAAACAAAACACCTGGATCACCTGTATGGGGATAAAAAACAGAAGAGAAAACAAACAAAAAAGAGCAACATAACAAATACAACACCATCAAAATAAACTAGCTAACAGTAGATAACAGTAGATGCTAAATATTACATGTTATTGTGCAGTACGTAAGATCAGCAGCGCACAATGTGCTTTGAGGTAGAAGCCAAGAAAGGTGTAGTTTGTGTCTGTGAACACCCGTGTGTACACCTGTGTGGATCAGCACGTTTGTATTCCAAAGGTTTCTCCGTGTAACGACCTGCTAGGGAGTGTGGGGAGTCATAGCCCCGTCCCCCAGGGCATGAAGCAGGTATGGAAGAGATCCAGGCCCCAGACATCCAGATGCCCCAGAATACGAGGACCCGAGGAGGACCACCAGGGGGGAACCGTGCCACCCTCCTGGGAAGAGCTCAGGAGAGCCTCAAACGAGAGGTCGCCCAGCAGCCACGGAGCAGAGGCCAGAGAGGGTTGCAGTGGCGTGCCCGCGGGCTCTGCCGGCAGCCAGCTGTGCCAGAGAGGACCGGGCCTCAGGCGGCACCCCAGATATACAAGTCTAGAGATCTGAACCAATCTTGTGATGGTTTGTTCGGGATCATTGAGAATAAATAATTTATTTTTGGTAAGACCATCATTTTTATAGCGGTGACCCTTCCCATGAGTGATATGGGTAGACATTTCCATCTAGCCAGATCACCTTCTACTGTCTTTAAAAGTGGGATATGGTTTCATTTAGTTAGATCTGCAAGCTTGAGAGAAACATTAATACTTAAATATTTAATATTTCCAGATTGCAGTCGGGTAGATAAAGAATTATGGAAGGAGCAATTAATCGGAAGAACTGTAGATTTTGAGTTTATCAATGCAATCACCCCAGAGATATTGGTTTGTGAGTTTTGGCAAAAAAGTAACACATCATCCGCATAAAGGCTGATTTTATGTTCTAGTTTTGTTATATTTTTAACCAGCTTACGAAAGAGTTTCTGAAACCAAATTTGTGTAAAGTTGCAAATAAAAATTTCCAGTTAAATGGCCAGTTAACTCTGTCAAATGCCTTTTCTGCATCAAGAGACAATATTATGGTTTCAATATTTTTACTACACGAGTAGTCTATTAAATTAAGTAGTCTACGTATATTTGTTGAGGAGTGCCGACCTTTTATGAAACCAGTTTGGTCAGGATGAATTAAGAGGGGGTTATTTTCTCTAATCTCTTTGAGAGAGCTTTGCAGATTATTTTAAGGTCTACATTTATATGGGATATTGGACGATAGCTTGAAGGAATCCAGTGCCACTGCTTGGGTATCTAATAATTTTGGGAGAGTTACATTGTCGAGAAATTGATCAATTTAGTTTTTAGATGGGTTCATTTGCGGTGTATATAAAGATTCATATGTCTATTGATTGACTCCAGGATATCCACAATGTCTTTGCCGGCAGGTGATGTTGTGCCGGGGGAGTCTGCCGGGCGACATCTTTTAGATGACGGCGTCTCAACTTTGGCGCACTCTGGGCCTTTTTCATTACTAGGTCATGGAAGCACCGGTCGATGAAATCTTGGAGAGCGTCTAAACTCTCCTCGTTGTCCTCCAGGGTGTTGGAGATAGTTGGACAAATGTGGTTAGTTAAATGACAAGTGATCAGTGTATTTGGAATACTTGAAGTTTTAAAGCGTTT